ATCCAAATCTGCAAAATTAGACAAAAATTGTCCAGGTTATTGAAAAAACACATGTCAGAGGACCTCAAACTCACTATCAGCAATACGCACTTGCTAATCCACAGGTTTAACGATTTTTCTTTTCCAAACTATTATTTTCTTCTTCATTTACCTTTTACCAACAACTAACAATGCTGAAATATAGGGACTTAGAGTCAATATGCATATACCTGCAGACTATCTTGAACAATTTGACAGCCTGCTCTTACCTTTTAAAACATGTTACGTTTCAAATGCAATTGTTCGCTCGTCCCTTACCGCTATCCTTGCCGGAGAATACCCATACTATTGGGTTGCCGCCAAAAAGACACGCATTCACCGAATACAAGAACTACAACGACCTTCTCTTCCACTTTCTTTACAGATGCACTTCTTTGCCATGTTGGACGCAATTGTTAATACACATCATTTGATAAGTACACAGACCACTTCCCTTTTAATTAATTAAAGTTTTCCCGAACAAGATAAACCTTGTTTAATCAATTATTTTAAATTGTTTCTTACATATAACTGCAACAGATATCATGGAAAAAGTACTGCATGCCCTACCTAAAGGAGAAACAAGTGTTCGAGGAAAATTCACCATTAGTAGAGATTATGTAATTGCTGATCAGAGGTAACAATCCATTTTTTTTATTCACATTTCCATAATGCCTTTCAACCATACTATAGATTAACAATTGTCATTCTCTTTTTTTTTTTTTTTTTACTTTTACAGTCTCCGTCCATTACTTCGTACTCTCTCTGGTCAAATTGAAGAAGGCCATGGACCTATTATTGCTTCCCAACATGAAACCTTTCCAGTTCTTATTGCTATTAGGATCAAAGTCACAACAAAAAATTGTAAGCAAACATATTTCTCTCTTTCCTAAATATTTTTATTTATTTTCATTTCACATAGCACTTTTTTTGCATAGCACCAGATCTTAGCTTATCAACTCAGCCATCATCTGTAATCCTCATAAATCCAGACGTTCAAGAGGCAATAGACCTACATGACTGATATCAATTGCAACTTTCTATCATCTACTATTACTATTGAAATCCCTAGCTAATTTTTCCATATATGAATCAGGTTTTGTGCTAATTCTACCCAATTAGCACAATTGCTAACCAACACAGGTTATACTGAACCCAATTTCCTTCTTCTGCCTCCCGATGATAATCAAATCATGGATATTGCTACTGCAAAACAAATTGTGAGACTCCACACTCCTCTTTTATTCAATGCTATTGTGTCCATATTTAATTCTAAACTAATGATATTATACACTGTTCCTATCCCTGCTTAATAGGAAGTTGGCACAACATGGATTCGAGGTTCTGCTGCGATAGACTATAGACATAATAAAATGTACCGTATGACATGTCCTAATTGTGAAGAGCCTCATTATTCTACACATACAATACGAACATTTTGTCAACATTTTGAGCACGGTGTTCAACTATTACCCAAGTTCTTTACAACCTCTTGCATTATTCATACCTCCTCAAATTCATAATCCACCCAATTTCATCTTTCTATAACCATTATCAATTTTCCCTTTGCAAAGCATGTATTTCAATTTCTCTTTCTGATGGAATTGGTTCGCTATATGCAACCGCCATGGATGTTGAAGCTGAAAAATTACTTGGATATTCAACAGTTGAGCTTTATCATGCAAACCAACAAGTACTTATTTAATGACCTTTATTTACGCACACAATTTTTATCCCTCCTTTTTCATTCTAACCATTAACATTATTCTTTCTTCTTTGACCGTCAAACAGAATATTAACATTCTCAGCCTTGTTGCGCCAAGATTATGCGGAAGAACAATTATTTGCTGCATTCAACCTCGTTCTTCAATAATCAGGCTGTCTCAAGCAACTGCGTTCAACATTATAACTTCATACTTTTTGGATGATCTTCTAGGCGTTCATCAACTCAACTTCCACAACCTAAACATTCAAGATGAAAACTAAACTTGTTTGATTTTCATATTTACAGCGCCTGTCTAATTACAGCCTCTTTTAGCTGCTACAAATTTTCACTGCTATTCCTGTATAATATAGTTCCATTTTATGGCACTAATTTTCATTCTCGCCAATATTACTAACTAAACATTAACTGGGCATATATTGCACCGCGCACAGCGCGGTGTTGCCACCTAGTCAGCAATAATTGAGAATAAAGTTGACTTGGCTATACTTAATTAGTAGCACATAAGAACAGTAACACTAGCATTGCCGGGTAGTAGGTGATTAAATATAGGCCTTGTTTGGCAGATAAGTTTTTTGCTAAGTTTGTCTGCTACAAGTTTTTTAAAAATTTTAGCTACAGTAATTTCAAAATTTTTAAACTATACACTTCAAAATATTAAAAAAAACACACTTCAAAAAATTTTTAAAAAGCTTCTACAGTAAGCTACAGTAAAGTTTTAGACAAACACCCAAAAACTCACTTGCCAAATAGGACCATAATATAGGGAAATTTTGCCATTCATTTTTGGTATCATACTCCCAAGTAAAATTCATCATTAAATGGTAAAAGAAGTATTATTGACGTTTAAATTAACCATTGTTAAATATTTAAAATTTAAACTATTATCTTTAGTTTGAGATGCAAGTTGAGGTATGGTATTCAAAAAGCAGAATTTTCCTATAGGTACGGTGGTATGGCGGTACATTTGAATTTTGAACTGTATGTAAAAGTTCTTTAGTTTGTATTTCGTTTATGTGATGGTACATCTTCTTTGAAAGATTCAAGAGTTCCAATTTGATAATTCCAAACAAAAAAAATACTAAGTTAGAGTACATTTTTTTAAGGTTTACCTCTACTGCATAAGTTATATAGAGCATAATACACGAACATACCAACTACTCAATGAGGGGATACCCAATTTAGGAAAGCCCGATCAAACCACTTGACCAAACTACTTGATTGGTCTAGGGTTGCAAGTTGACCAAACCATTTTACTTGACCTTGACGTTGATTGAGTTCGAACTGTTCGATACTTCATAGGTTTGATGAGCCTAATTGAGCTTATAATATAAATGTTTTGATTACATTCTTTATGTAAAATCATATAAAAAATATTCATTTTTATTAAATGAGCTCGATTGGGCTCGCATATACTTGATTGAGTTCGATTAGACGTTATTAGGCTTAATTAAATTCAAAATTCGAGTTTAAGTTCGAGTAAACTGAAGTCAAACTCAATCTTGAGCTCAACTTCTAAAAGTTCATTGAGCTCAAACTCGAGGTCGAGATTAGTTATTTTAATTCGAGTCAAGTTCAAATTTGACTTGAATGCCCCTCCAACTAGGTCCTAGATGAAGTCATCTTAATTTGAACTTTATTTTTATTTTGACTTTTTTAGTACATAGGAAGACTACCGTCCACATTAGCTGAATGCAAAACATGGCAAAGCAACATTTTCCAGATTACGTTCCGACAAGCTTCTAATCTCAACTAGCGGTTCAGCAAATGATATCTAACCCCTTGCATTGTACAGAGAAGACAGAGGAAAGTCATTATCTTCCATCATCAAATACTAATGCGCAATTATTTAAATCAGTTCTTGAGACACCAATAACCCCCTTTTTTTTTAGGCGAAGACCAAAAACCTTATCAATTCTCAATTAGGAATTTGAAGGAAATGGTGATCTGATTACCATAAGTATATTTTCTTTCTTTCTTTTATAAATTAGTCTTAAATTGTGGTTTAATTTTTCATTCGAATTTATGGTGGTAAAATATTAAACGAGAGAAGTAGATTTATTAGAAAATATAATAATAATTGACTAAATTTAAAAAATGGTAAAGAAAATAATTAATAAGCAAAAGTCCATTATAGAACAAAGAACAAAAAGATGTCCAAATAATCGGTGTGAAACGTGATTATAGAAAATGAGTCATTTATTCAAAATTTCTAATTATAAGGATATAGAAAAAAAATAATTTTTCCTTCAATTTCATTTTGACGCTTGATTGAAGATCTGTATGTCAACAAAGCAATAGACTAAAATCATTTCTATCACATGATCATCAATCTGTAGAGGAAGAGAAGTTTCTTCAGCTTCTTTTCTGCCTTTGTTTTTCCCCCCACTTTCAAGTTGGTTTATATATCTTAATTCTTTCCCAACTCATCTTATTGTAACGCTAATGTGTAAAACACCTTGCCACTATTTTGATCCCAATGCTAGAATATCTGCAGTTCTTCATACTTACGCTCTGGATTTTTCTCATTTCCAAATTTTGAAGGAATTCATGACACTCCCTTTTTTTTTAATTCGGATGATGTGATTATTATGGACGAATGTGGAACGCTAATTAGTTTTCAGAAAATTAGCAGAATAAAGTACATGACTAACTTTTTCTCCAAAGAATATCTTCCACAAATTTTCGCAAATGACATTAATTAATATTAGCTCAACACATTGATTCACAAGTGGTGTCAATCATGACACCAAGAGAGCATAATTCTTACAACTAAGCAATTTTTTCCCATTTCTGCTACAATAATTCAAATCTTTTGACTCATAACCACTTCCGTTTTCCAGTGATGGGATATATGCATCCTGTTACAACGTTTGACACTGCAGCATTAAAAAAAGAATCGAGCACAAAGATTATGATTTAGGGAATGGTCTTGTGAAATTAAACTGCAGTTAATATTTCGGTATAAACAAAATACTTGTAGAGAAAAGGCTAGAAAACTAATACATTGCGATGTAAGTAGGAAATTTTCTTTTATACATAAGTTCATATACCCCAACATAGGAAATTTTCTTTTATACATAAGTTCATATACCCCAACAAGCCTATTTTAGGTATCACAAAAGTGATACATAGATCTAGATTAACAATCATCAAGGGGATGGCAATAGAAATAGAGGAACATTTTGCTGATCAGCCCCCAATTAGCTATTGTAGTTCATTATTCCCAATGCTAGATTTGGAGCTTTCAAATTCATGACTAATATGGATACATTTTCCGGGGTAGCATGAGTGTAGCTTCGGGATCCAAGTCCCCCAAATAAAGATCGCGCAAGGCTCCTCCTCCAAGAGAACTCCTCCTCCTACAGTCCCATATTTCACAAATTGATTGAACAAGAAGAAGCAACACCACGAATATCGGAAAAAGTGGCCTCCAAAATTTCACACAATCTGCAGAAACCTTCATACAGCATCTAGAAGCCTTAACAATTCGAACATCGTTGAACTGATTACTGACTTCCTTCACGGTGCCAGCAACCTTAGATACCTCGTCAGGCTTTTCACCAGATTTCGTAAACCCATTGCACATTTTGACTATCTCTTCATCAGGGATTTTTGTTTCAATGACTCCAGATCTCTTCAACATTTCCACATCTTTCTCGGATCTTATCAGCCCGCACATCAAATCCACATAATCCCTCATTTGGGTCGATCCCATCTTCGACGTTGCCTCGTAGGCCACCAAGTTCCTCAGTATGACTTCAGAATTAGCACGCAGAGTGATAACTGGAAGACACAGTATCCTCTTCTCCCCGTCCAGTGTAATATTTCGTATACCACAGTCTTTAGGAAGCGGATTGAATTTCATCTTGAGAAAGATATACAGCCGTGAAGCTGAAGGAATGCCAATTTGATCTCCCAAAGATCCATCTTTCTTGTGATTCACATGCTGAATATTCTTCTGCAAATTGCGGAGAATGTTGGTGACTTTCTCTACATTTCCTGGAAGTCTGATTCCAGCCATTTTTGCATCCGAAAGTGCAGAGTCGAATTCCTCTATTGCGTGCTCAAGAAACTCCCCCGCATGAGAGGCTACCTCTTTTGCAATTGCACCTACTCTGCTTTCCCTGTGATGTTCTTGATTTGTTTGAGAAATTTCACTCACCTCGTCGCCTATCCCAACTGAGTCATGGTTGTTATTTCTGTTGTCCTGAGGGATATTTTTGACAATCATTTGGTACATAAAATGCAGCAGATGCTTCATATTGTCAAAAGCTTCGTCTCTTGAGGTTGAATCTGAAGCCAGCTTTAACGGGGAGTACTTGTCACAAAAACGGACGAATTTCCCAAACAACTGTGCATTTGAATAAATATTGAAACTTTTTTGGAGAGTCACGAGCATTTCCTGAATCAGAAAAATTGGAATTTGGTTCTCGAGCATCAATACGTCGGCAGCCAATGCTTCAGGGTTCAAGTAAATCCTGCTCTTTCCCACATCCCCGTTGCCCAAGTAATGAATCAAAAACAAGCCATCCACAATGACTACCCAAGCCAAGGTCTCCTTGTCCAGGTCGAGGTATCTGTCGTAACACGAACGAATTTTGGGTTCAAAATCTTCAGGACCTTCCTTAACAAGTTTGCTGAAGTGTTCGTCGTCAAGAGCTTTCAGATAATCTAAAACAGCTGCCCGTTTGTCGCTTTCCATGTGCTGAACTTGTGGCCAGAAATGGTGGTATGGTCCGAGTCCTACTAGCTGAGGAGTATAAGCCTCGGGCTTGGTGTCCCTCAAGTTGTCTGGAACATGGAAGACGCAGGGGGAGACTGTATGGTTGGTGATGTAGTTGAGCCTCATATGGTTTATCCATCGGTTTTGGCTCTCGCTAGAAGTGAAAACTGGAGTGGAAGTGGAAGGCATTTTTTGGTGTATTCTTGTTTTTTCGGGGTTTAAACTTAAAAAGAGACGAGTCATGTAAGTACTTGCTAGTTACCACTAGCTCTCATTATTTATAGGGTGGGTGCTAGTGAAAAATGAGGCCTGGTGTCAGGCAAATGTGTGAATTTTCTTAGGTTAAGTGTGTGCAGTTTAGGGTAGAAGAGTGAATCTATTTCTTATTTTTAGTGCTTTATATTTGCGTGGAAAAATGTTCTTAGGATAAGTATATAATATTTGGATTTATATTTTTTAATACTGATAGTATATTATATTAGCAGGTTTAGATGCACGTTATACACGCAATTTTTAGTCCAACAGCATGCAATTCAGGAGTAAGTGGACAGAATTATATTTACACCTTTTTTGGTGTTCTTTTTTTCTTGCACCCCGTGATGTATAAAATAGAAAAATTCTGACTTACATGGTCAATTTTAATTACTTTTTCGGTTACATCAACTACCACTTTTCGTACATGTGATTTGGAAATGCGTATTATTAATCACACATGCGTATTATAAGTTGTTTATATTATCTGTTTGGGACTACGTTTTCTTTTTCAAGGTAATGAGATTTGGTTGTGGTTGATAATGATGCGCACAAGCATTTAAACCATACACCCCTACATCAAACTATGATATGTTATTTTCTTCCCCGCCATGTGGGGTACTTTTACCTAATGAGAAATGAATCAGAGTTGGAGGCATTTAAGCAAAAATCACTGTCAATGCTATATAAAGTAGTCACAATAAGTGTTTATAGTTGGTTGCATCTGTAATAGCTCTAATTTTTTTATACAGCAATGATTAATTTCTTCTTTTGAATAATATCACGTCTTGTCTGGAAGACGTAGAAATATGCATGAATAACCTTTTCGCAAGTTTTCTTTTTGTTATCTTTTTAGGGCTATGTGTGTTGTCTTTTTTGGAATTGGTCAAGCTAATTAATTATATTTCTGCATGTGAACATTTGGATACGCTGCATTATTGTCCAACAATTTAAAATAAAAGAAGATTTATTTGAATTGAATTTAAAAAAAAAACAATTGTTGACTAGACTCAGTGCAATTATTTGAGATAGTAACAATAATGGTTCTTGTCGGTTCTTACCAATTAGAAATGAACGAAAGCTGGAGACAAGAACATAAGAAGTCATCAATGATCAAACGCGTGCATTAAGATGCATCTTTTAAGCATATTTTTAGCCAATGGTATGAAAAAAGTAGTCAAAGGGCATTTTAAGATACAGCTTATGCACGCACCTATCTTGCATAATTTTTCTTGGACGGCAGTAACCATTCTGATCATACCATGACGGGCCCCTTCTCGTGTACCTGCCATAGCAGCCGGAATTGTGGCAGCCATTGCTGAGCGCAGGATACCTCCGCATGCTTCCCACTTCTTGATAATGCCATTAGAAGTATGTATGGATCCACCTCGCCGTACACTTTTGCTAGCCCTTCTGGTGCATCAACTTCCACCGAATACACTCCTGCCATGCACTTGTAAACCATCAAACCATGATTGTACAGACAATTATCTTCTTTTCATGTGGTGGGGTACGTTGCTGGGCACAATAATCAATTCTTTGTCTGATAAAAGAAGATAAACAAACAGTTTCAGAGATTGTAAAATTTTCCATTCGACATAAACCAAGTTTAAAAGGGAAATGTTATTTGCACTTTTATTTTTTTTGTTATTTATGCTCTCATTATTTGTTTTATCATGTAATCTAATAAATGAAAACTATATGATTAAAGTGATAATGAAAATACGATTAGTAAAAATAGCTGTGTAAATATCATTTCTCTTTTAAAATATAATGAATTCTTTTTCATTCAATCACGCTCTTTTATTTGATTTATTCGTGATTTCTTTTATAAACAATATTTCTCCCTCGTTAATTCATCTTCATAAACTTACTAGGCGAAACTTAGTGTCATAATAAATATGTTTCAATAATCAAAAAATAATATTTTGATGAGAATAAAAAAAAGAAAAAAGAAAAAAAGAAGCCCACTTGAAAGAAAATGTTACTATAATTCCAAATAAAGTCAATTTCTTCTTTTTAACTAGAAACTCATTTGCACATCATATCAATATTTGCAATTATAAAAGGAAAATGATATTAGTACTAAACAAAAAAAAAAAAAAAATTCAGGCACTCCTTCTCTTCTTTTACATTAGATGAAGTTTAAGATGTGTATGAGGTTTTTCGAAGAGTGCTAATATCATTTCTCTTATAAAAGGATTAAAAATACAAATACAAAGACAAAAATATTAGAACAGCGGAAGCTGTATAAAATATTTTCACTTGTTCCTTTTTACTATTATTATTATTATTATTCTATACTCACAATTAGCACAAAGTATTATATCTCACGATCTGAGTCTGGCAAAATCAATTTTCATACGATCAACCTGCGAAAGAAAAAATTACATAGATATTAATTTTTGGCACCATAGCAGCTCAATATGTGAAGCAAAATGCGCCCCCCACCCCGGGCGCCCTCATTCACTGTCAATTGAAAGAGGAAGCTATAGTGCAGTATGGTGGTGACCTCACAATCTTTCTGAACCATAAGCCATGATATTTTTGCATGTGAACATTTGGATATGTTGCATTATTATCCAACAATTTAAAGTAAAAGATTTATTTAAAATTAAAAAAACAATTGTTGACTAGACTAAGTGCAATTATTTGAGATAGTAATAATGGTTCTTGTCTTCTTACCAATGAGAATTGAGAAATGAGCGAAAGCTGGAGGCATCAACATAAGAAGTCATCAATGCTCAAACGCGTGCATTAAGATGCATTTTTCAAGCTTATTTTTAGCCAATGGTATGAAAAAACAGTCAAAGGGCATTTAACAACTTATGCACCTACTTACTTTTGCTTAATTTTTCTTGGACGGCTGTATATGATTGTTCACAATAAGTGATTGTTCACAATAATGTTAAAGGCATCCTAGTAGCATAACGTATTGTTTAATCTGCAATCAACTTTCAAGCATGCACATTTTTCACATCGCCAATTTGAACCTTAGATGACTGAAAAACAGTCCATCTCCAACCCCGCCACCCATTAAAATATATATATTTATTTATATTTATATATTTATATGTATATATAATATTTAATTTAATTAGTTACAAACTTATAATAATAATCTTATTAGTTATAAGTATTATATAATGTATATTAGTATATATAATATAATTAATATTATTAATTATACTAATACTGATACATGTCTACTAATAGAAATTATTAATTAGTTATACTAAATTTAGTAATATATTTATACTAAATTCCTAATTACACTTAACACAATAACACTTTTTCTTAAAAAATACAATAATGACTTAATGATTATATCTATTTCAAAAGTAAAAATTTGACTATTTTAGATATATTTGTCTCATCATATTAGATTATATTCAAATAGTTTTTATGAATTTCAATTGTGAAATTATAATGAATAATTACTTGATGATGTGTTAATATTTTAATACTTAATTATTTATTAAAATTTAACTACAATGAAAATATATAATAAATTTTTATGAACTCCGCAAGTGTCCCTGCGGGAGGGGGACAGGGTGGAGGGAGCGCGGGGGCGGGGGAAGTAGTGGGCCTTTTTCTATAGAATCACCTATTTATACATATAAATACTCGCAGTTAAAATTGTGTGAGAAAAGGCTTGCATTATCTTCTAAAGAACCGAATTGGCCTATCTTCCTCGTTGCTCCCTACCAAAACCACCTTTACCACCAAGTCCGTGACCAGTCTAACATGAAGACAAACTTAATAAGGCAGTGCACCAAGTTCAGGCTAGAACAATTCCGCCACTCCTTCGTGCTCACTCTGCTCGAAACCCACAATGAAGATCAGCATCTTTTGAACCCAACAGTCATTGATTCATTCCGAGGCTATCTTGAAGATGTGAATGTCAACTCCAAGGCCACCCCGGGCTCTGTCCTCATTACCACCGCTCAGGGTGACTTATTCTGCGGAGGATTCGACTTCGGGTACGGTTGCAGAACATAATTTCTGAATAACCGTTTTTCCTTTCATATACATTATATCACAAAAATGTCTGAATAATGTCCTATTGAAACAAAATAACAATAATGTCTAGAATTCAACTTCGGTTATTTTTCAGATTTTTTTTTTTTGCACGAAAGAAAAGGTGTAGATTAATGCAATTACTCGTGACAAATAAGTTGTCCTGTATCAACTCGATCAGGTATGCCCCGTCCCATGCGGGAGGCTCAGAGGATAAAGCATACAAAGAAATGAATGATGGCTTCAAGGATGTGGTCAAAGACTTGATTTCCCTACCAATGCCCACCATAGCAGCAATTAATGGCTATGCAACGGAGGCAGGGCTGATGCTTGCTCTCAGCCACGACCATCTCACAATGAAGCAAGTCGTTGAGCCGCATCTGCGAGCCGAGCTTTTGTCCAGGAAAAGGAGCTACCCGGGCTACTTCGCTGCCCTGATCAGGTCAAAAGTAGGCTGCCCTTTGGCTCGTCGTAATTTGCTGTTGAGGGACGTGCAGATTGATGCACAAGAAGCAGCAAAGATCGGACTTCTAGATTGGAACCGTGAGGTTGCAAGTGAGGCTGCAAGTGAGGAGGGTGCCCTGGAAGTTGCAAAGACACAGGCAGACGAACTAGCGAAAAAGAAATGGAATGGCGAGCTTTATGCTGAGATGAGACAACTTTTGTATCCCGAGCTGTGCAAGGAATTGGAATTGACTTCTAGCCATAGTTGTTAAACTTCCCGATTCTTCTGTTACGGTCTTAAGATTGTAATAATAATACTGTAATAGCTAGTACCATAATAACACTTACCGGTTTGGGATCGCATGTGCCTTGTGGTATACATTCAGCTTTCTCTTACTATTGGAGTGACAAGAATGAATATGTAGTTTTTGGGCACTCGAGAATTACCTTTGATTTAAGTAACTTATTTGAGGTAAGTTGGCCATCTTTGGTCTTAGCTCGTGATTTAAACCAGGGTACTCTCTCTCTCTCTCTAACGTTTTATATAATCCATTTATTTTCTAGTTTTTGATCAAAATAGGATATGACATTGAATATAATTTGTTTAGTAAAATAAAATACAGAAAGTTTCCCTAGAACTAGTTATCTAATTTGTGGTCTTCAAAATATATTTAACACGGATCTTGAAAGAATGAATTATGTTCAGCCGATAAATACCATTTTGTGAGACATACACATGCTGTTGAAATGATATACATCTTATCCATATAGTAATTTTTTGCCAATTATTAAAATATTTTAGCCATTTTGACGGTGGAATTCTTACTGAGTAGGAATCAAGCTATAAGTACATGTAAATTTGGAAACGTGTGGCCCTGTCTATGCTCTCAGCAATTCTTCTGAGGAATTTGTGTTTGTTTCCGATATAAATACATGGGGAAAAACCTTGAGTTGTTCTACTTGAGCGAAGCTGATTTTAAGCATGGTTATTAGGATTGCCATCTGGATTGTAGGATGGTATGATACTAGGATTCATAACATGACCAATGGATTCAGATCACAAATAGGATCAAATTTTGGTTTTAATTTAGCAAGATAAATAGGATTCCTGATATGATCATACTATTTTCAAACATTTAGGCAATAATTGTAGCATTCGATGATATTTTTTTTGTAAAAAACATGAAATTGAGTGTCATTTCTTGCGTTAAAAACCACATCCAAAGACTAGATTCAGAGGACTTTAAAGTCATGTAACTACCTCACTCGAATTCCTTACCTACAAAAATTGGTGAATCTTTAAATTTGATTCATATGTTTCACTAGAGTAAAGAGATGATATTTGCTATAGGTTGTCACTTAAGGATAGTGTTTATTGTCTTTATTATGATAAATTAGCATGGTTTAGAGTATTTAAAGATGAATTAAGTACTTTTGCCATGTCTATGTAGATAAGTGGTAGGCTATAAATTTGAACCCAAAATACATTTTTTGGCAAAAAATTTATTCTTAGAATTTTCTTTGATTATTGTTTATTGTATACCAATTTTTCAATCATTTAAAATATATTTGAAACATTTTATTATATATGTAATATTTAATTATCCTATTATGTAAAAATGATGTAATAATTGATCAATAAATCATAATTAACTAAATGTGTGGTGTTTATCTATTTTATTAATATATACTTAGATGGTTTATCCACATATACAGTCAATTTTTCTAAGTATCTTGTCCAGTAATTCTATTTGGATTTTAAAACGAGAAAGAACAAGATTTTTAGTTTAATCAAAGTACATTTCAAATATACTACATATGGTCCCAAATTTATATCAAATTTCTAAACTGCCCCAAATACTCTATGTAGCACAATTTTAAATTTAATTAACAATATCATTATATTGATTGCACATGAATTACATGAATTGCAAATTTAAAAAATCATAGATATGACTATATTTTAAATTTGTGGTAAAACCTGACTTTAAGGCCCTTCTTCACGAGATAAAGTCCATGGACCCCTCCATACGCAAGTCGGAAAAGGCTCCCAACTTGTGACCTTAGCCCTCATCAAGATCCCAAGAAAATCTGTAAATTAAGTGAAAAAAAATTAATCTTTTCGGATGCATACTTGGCTGTTTTGATGAATTCGTGATCTTAATTGTGTGTCTAATATAATATGCCTGCTGTGGTCAATTACGAAGAAAAAATGTTGCTGTTAAATTGTTAATGGTGGGAGAAGACCTAGGGGAGTTTCAAGAAAAAATGGTCATTTACAAATTGTGGACATTAAATATTGATTGTGTGATTTGTCCCTGACTTTCTCTAATGATAATATAATTGGAATAGGTTAGAAGATCAAGAGGGCGCGATTTTGGATTTCACAAAAGGATCATTATTTCATGTAGTCAAGGTTAATTAATGTTTTATGTATTTCACGTTAATTAATGTTTTATGATTAATCATTGTAAACTTGTTTATATTATCTGTTTAGGTAGTCAGATCTGATTGGGGTTGATAATGATGAACAGACCATGTTTTGATAATTTCTTCTTCGGGTGGTTACTTAGGGTAGGTAAAACGGTCCCTTCATTGTTTAATACTTGTATTAATGAAAATTAAAAAAAAAAAAAACAAAGATGAAAAGTACAATATTATGACGAAGGATAAATGGTCAATTTTGTCCCTAAATTTTTTATTAGTGTCGATTTGGTCCCAAACTTTTATTTCTGACTAATTAGATACTTGAACTTATTTCGCAATTCCAATTAAGGACCTTCGCGATGGCACCACTACCTAAAACTGATCTGGCTCCTAATTGACTAATTAAACAGGGGTATTATCACGAAACTGTAATAAAACAAGTAAAACGTATAAAATATCACCAAATAAAACTTTTAAAACGTGTAAAAAATCACTAGGTAAACTTTTTTAAATTTTAATGTTGTGATTTTTTACACAATGTACTTGATTTATTATAGCCTCATAAGTGATGTTCCCAATATACCCTTGTTTAGTTCGTCAATTAAGAGCCAGATTAGTTTTAGGTGGTAAAGCCACCACAGAAGTCCTTAATTGGAATGGCAAAATAAGTTTGCATATCAAACTGGTTAGGAATAAAAGCGAGGGACTAAATCTACGCTAGTGAAAAGTTTAGGGATGAAATTAGCTATTTTCGCTATGACGAATAGTCGCTTTGAGGTCTAAAAGTTTCGAGGACAAAGCATTGTAGGATTTTAAAAAGCATGAATTATTTTCTTTTTTTATTGGAATTTCACATGAAATTAATTTTCTCATTAATGGTGTGATCTTAGTGGGACTATCGTTGCTTATGTTAGATCTGCAGTTGGATTAACAAAGGTTAAAAGTGCAAACTTAAAAATCCATATTTGCAAAGGAAGAGTGGAATGAATTATTTTTATCATTTTCTTTTTACAATTTATAAATATGATATGCATTTGAACGCAATGCATTACATCAGAGACTGCTAAAGTTTGTTTTCCTCTGTCGAATCGTCAATAATAATAAAAAAAAACTTTAGATATTTTATGTTTTTAAATCATAATTCAGATGTGAAATGTGTAAAAGACGATTTTTGAATTTAAAACAAATTGTGACTTTTTTTTTTTGTCGCCACAATAACAGTAGTATAATTTATTCTTGCAACGGGAGGGGGAGGGAGAGCCTCACCAACGGAGAACCAGTCGAAAACAGTCACGTGAAAGTGATAGCCACAATTAAGTGACAAATTGAACTCTTGACCTTCTACCTACAACACCAAGACTTTAAAGTTTTGAGAATGACCAATAACCAAGAGACTGTTAAACAAATTGTGGCTGGAATTTAGTACAATTCACGCCACCGGACCAACAAAGATCGGATCAGATGAGAAATGAATCAAAATCAGAGACATTGAAGCAAAAAGAGACTGATTCCGCTTTGCAAAAAGAGATTAATTGAGTGTGTTTGGATTGAGATGATTTGAAAAAAATAATTTGCTTCACAAATCCCAATCATCTTTTTATCTCACATACATTACATCACAAAAAACGTTACAGTAATTATTTCAAATAAATCATCCAAATAAACTCCTATCCAAACAAACTCCGCTTTGCACCCTTCAATTATTCTCACAATTCCATTTTGGTTTTTAAACTTTAAAATACGACACTTTAGTATCTCAAATACAAAATTTTGTCCCATTTAAGTACCATGGTTTTAAAAAAATTGACCAATTTTATACTTAAGTGAGACAAATTTAATTTTATATCCTAGAGATTGAAGTGAAATAAATTTTATACTTTAAAGACTAATTAAAGTGACATATATTTTGTATTTTGGAGAATAAACTATTCCATTTTAAAGTTTAGAATCCAAAATAAAAATTTAGGTATAATTTAAGGATGTAATAACTTTAATTATTCATTATGTGCTAATTATTGTATTTCTTGATTTAATAATGTCACTTTCTGTACCTAGGACTGTGTTGTCTTTTTCTGGAATGGGTCAAATTAATCAGATTTGATTGAAGTGATGTACACACGAATTGATTCCATACATACACTTTGTAATCATGTTTGGTTTAGGACATTTATTTTCTTATCCTTTGGTGGGGTACTCAGGTAGTCATAACAACCTCCTTTTAAACTAACAAGTTTGGATTGGCTTTACCTGAGTAATTATTTGGAAAAAATACCTAGCCCACAATTTTTGACCTAAAATACTAACACAATATAAAATGATTTATTGGGATAGACATGCAACACGTAGGACCCATAAAAATCACCGCATCTTATAAGCACACGTGAACAACCTCTATCTCTCTCTTCTCTGTCCCATGCATTTTTTTTTATTTCAATAAAACAAGCAAATACATCACAATAGAATAATTTTCGTTCTACTAGTTGCTGCATTCATTTGTAGATGCGAAATCGAAGCCTTGAACAAGAAGCCAACAAGTAAAACCCAATTAAGCTCTATCAGAAACTATTGATGAATAGTTTCTACATATTGTGTTGTTTTTTGTTTTTCTTGAAGCATTCATGCATTATAAGCTTTCAAAAATTATTGAAGGCAAGCAACCATTGGACGGTCCATGAATAATGTCTCGATAAGCAAATGCATTTTCTTGTGATTAATATTTATGACTAATAAACCACCACTATTTTAATGGTTAATTTCATCCTTTATCGATCTTAATCACTTTATTAAAATTGCGTAAAGCAGCAGTAACAGTTAGATGATTAGTCAATTGTATGCTAGCAAACGGGTGAAATTCTATCCCCATGAATAATTCATCAATGCCAACAGCTAACCGTTCTGAAATAGTGGCCCAAGTATTGCAGATTACCACGAAAAAAGAAGGATGGGGAAATTAGATGAAAGAGAGCAATAAAGGGGCTGGTAGTTTTTTTTTTCTTTTTTGATTTTTATTCTTATAAAACGCCAATAGTTACCTTTGCAAGATTGCATTTGTATGTGGAATAGATAAGATATCCGAATAAAGAGGCTGGACCCTAAGAAAATGAATAGTAGGTGAGAATTTAACTCATGATATTAATTACATATTGTGTATCCACATCTAAGGTAAGGACTAAAGAATTTGATTAAAGTGGGTGGGTTATGAGGAAATGAATAATACGTGGGGATTTAACTCATGATATTAATTACAGATTGTGTGCCCACATCCGAACAGCATTTTAAGATAACTTATTTTGAAACCAAATATAACAGATAAAATCATTAATCCAAACAGAATTTGTCATCCTAAGCAACAATTAGGTAGTGGATATTAGAAATATGTTATATTTTAGTGATTTAACACCTTATCTAAAACAAAGACAAAAACGAGTAACTTAGCAATTTAATAATCAATAATGGTGGAAGTTAAATACCGAACTCATAGTTGGGGCCCAATGCGCTCAACCCTGGATTAGTTGGAGTCTAATGCAGTCACCGAACACAAGGTTTACACACCAAAAAAAAAAAAAAAATTGGTACCTAAACTATTACTAGTAATTAATCAATTATGTCCTGTAGAATAAATTTTGATCTAATGGTTAAGATATAGCTTCTAGAAATTAGAAGTTCTAATTTTAAATACCCTATTCCCTTATCGCTTTTAAATCTCACCCCTCCTTGTTAAAAAGCAAATTAAAAGGAAAAAAATCAATTTAATCCTATCATTTCTTGTACTTTGATAACAAGGGTTGATTAGGAAGAATCAAATTTATTTGGGGAATGAATAACATGTGCAAAAATTGGATGGTTGTTAGTTTAGTGATAGGAATAGAAATTGTGGTCATTAAGGAGGAAAGTTGGAAAGAAATTGAGGTTATTAAGGAGCTATGGAGTTTCTAAATCTTTTAAAATAAACGGTTAAGGTAGAGGTGACAAAACCATATATAAAAAGTAGGTTGGATTGTTAGAAAGAGATAAAGAGTTCAAGGAAATCGAACCTTAAACATTTTCATAATTTTCCTCAAGCTTTAACTAAGCCTCACTTGAAGATTAGCAAGCTTTCTAAAATTTTGAACAGTTTTAAGGATGACCTGGATTGAGCTTTTCTTTCATGTAATTAAAATCATTATATTATCTGCAGCATCTGAAAAGAGAACAGGCATATTATTGTTTTTCATGCAAACATAGCTGCAACCACCACAATGTCGAATGCTCAACGTGTTAGAAACAATTTGCGTAGTAATTAGTTGCAGCATAATTATTCGTTTTGACAATTTTTAGCTAATTTTGCTGTCCAAAAATGGCCTACATCTATTTAGAAGATTAATCATACACACAGAACAGCCAAAAGCAAAGTACTTTCCTAGGACCTGTTTCAATGAAAGGTCAAGCTGTTAGACCCATAACCGGTTAGATCCCAAGTGGGGTAAAAACATCCTGTAAGTGTAGCCAGATTTACTCCCCAACCTTTCACCAAGGATTTAGGAAGGCACTGCAACAAAAGAAGCAAGGACAAGCACATCAGATTGGTTCCAATTGGAAAAATGGAACATTTTAAAACCAAAAAAGAAGCAAGAATTCTTCTTAGTTTTCAACTGGCAATTAATTCTACACCTAATTCTGTACAATAACATGCTGATGCAGACAATTCATAACTTTGCTTGCAAACAATTTTGCAACCGGAAAATCTCCAGTAGACCACCTCATTTGAGCAACTCTGAAACTGTCTCATTAAAGGGATCTACCTGAGCCAATTGAGCTGCCAAGGCTCTGCTGGGCAGTTGGGGAATAGATTGTCAGCTTTCATTCTGTTGTAGAACCCATAAACAGGAGCCATGGCTTTAATATAGGCCTGAACAAGTGCTTGGTACTGTCGGATATGGGTACATACCCCACCTTTCTCATCCTGTGGAACAGTTTCTCAGTTTTTTGTACATCACCCCTCTCTGCATTGTGATCCATAATGGTCATGTAAGAACTTAACTTGGCTTCATTTGTTTCTGTTCTGCAACCTTCTGTAAAATAGTGTCAGTCTTTTCGGCTTCACCAGCATCAACTAGAAACTTAACAAGCGTATCCCAAGTCAGTGGCCCTATATGGCAGTTACTGTCGGCCATCTGCTACACAAGATTCTTTCCTTTGTCCAACAATCTGTGATTTGCATAAACTCCCAGTAGAGCAGAACAATGCTTTGAGGACAGCTTACTCGATGCTGTCAACAAAGTATCAAACACTGCTTCTGCTTCTTCAATTTTGTTTAGCTTTCCCCAAGCTTCAATGGCTGCCAAGCATTCCAGAGGCCGTGATCTAGATTCACAAATCTTCCAGATTCTTTCCACTTCATTAGATTTTCCAAGGGCTGCATACATAGAAATTAAAGAGTGGTAGGCCCAACGATTTTTCTTTACATTCATCTCCTTCAACAGATTCTCAGCTTTCACTTTTAGCGCACTAGAGATGTCATGCTTAGCTAACAAGTCTTTTATAGCAAAATCAGGTTCTAAACCGTCATCCTTCATTGTCTCAACTATTTTCTCCATGCCAGTGATACCATTTGATTGACCTTTGACATCTATCAATTGTTTGTAATGTGAATAGAGAAGGCTTTACCTTTTCCTTTTCTATCAACAATAGAACATCAGCAATTTTCTTCTTGTCCAACCTCCTATATAAAAAAAAGCAACTGATTACAAGCAATGTTTGTAATTGGGAATCCCAGATCCTTCCATCTTATTGAAAACCTCCTCAGCTTTCTTCACGTTTGCTACAGGAACACAATTGGCTAATAGTGTACGATAAACAACTTCACCTTGGAAGGATTTTGGGATGTTTGCAATATAACTTTCTGTCTTCTGAAGACCATGCACTTTGGCAATCAAATCAACACGAGAAGCAAAATCTCTCTCACCAAACTCGTGGCCTTCCAACTCCAACCATTCTGAGAACTGTCCCATGAAAATAAATATGTCAAGTGTAAATAACTCCAGAAGCACAAAACGAACATGAAACAGATCAGGTGAAACTCTATAAGCATGTGTGAACTAGACGTTGTAACTTCTGTACACAAGTAGTTGTGAATCTTTCAAGAACATATGCTAGTATTAGCAAGAAGCAAAGTTCCTACAAAATTATTGCTGTCCTATTGGCATATGGGAAAATAGACATGGAGCATTTGGTTATAAGCAAAACTTTCTTTTACCATGTAGTTCAGTATCTCCCAATATATCCATGTCACTGTCTTGTCTTGCACTTACAGTTCAACCTGGTCCACACAGCTCAACTAATAGTATTAACTCTTGGAAGAGCACCTTCTCCCTACAGTTTCACATATCTAAGCGCAAGCATCAGTGTAAACCACTCCATATTGGTGGCTCATTGCATACGTGACATGCCATAAACAAACCTCAACCATACAGGCAAATAAGAATGCACTTCAACCAAGAAATTACCACTTTGCTAGAATGTTCATTCTGCTATTTAACCTCAAAACTATACAAGCACAATATGTGCATCATTTGGGGAGATTCTCCTTATTCGGATGGACTAGAATACAATAGTCTCCCATGGTTTTCAAGGTTGAGTTCTTAGGATGCACACAAGAAAAATGACATGCTCAGAGAAAGACAAAATTACTACCCAAATATCGGATTATCTAAATTCTCCAACCATTACTGGACTAAGGAACTCTAATGACTAAATAATCAACAAGAATTTGGTATGGTCAAGCATATCATCTTTACTTTCAAAAAGAACAGAAAAGGAAAGAAAAGGACAACCAAAAAAAAAGAAATAAAAGGGAACTTGGCCATTGACAGTCAAGGAGAACTTCAGTACTAATTTGTTCTAGAAGGATTTAACAGAACTTAGAGGTTTGGATGCTATTGGCTACAATATCCATCTCTTGACCGGTTATAAGTGTGCCAAAACTCACTAGAATTTCCTAGTCAAAAACTTTCTAACTCAGTTAGCCCGAGATCCATTCTTATTCTGTTTTTATTTAGACAAATCATTGTTTACAATGACAACAGTAAACCCATATGATGGATGAATGAATTATTACAACCATGAGAATGCAAGGTGTCTTGTCTGACCAAGCACCAACTTTTTGGTTGACTCAAACAAACCCTGAGAAGAAGCTAGATAACAGCCTCATGTTCTATAACAGACCTAAAGATGCAAAGAGAGAACTTCCAACCTCCAAATAGACAGGCATCAGCTTTCCGCACAAAGAGAGAAAACTCTTTCCAGTTATGGAAGTCAATGCCTTAAAGATGAGGACCTCTCTCACAGTTAAGCACTCAAAATATTGATATCTAGAGGAAGCCACTATTGAAAGGGGTATAAGAGTACATACTAGATATCATAAAGGCTTCAAAAATATATTCTAAATTCCAATTTGTTACTTAAGCAGATTCTACCGCACTAATTTTTCTTCAAGTAAGCTGATTCTCTATTTTTCCAACCAAATGCAATTTAAAATGTTATCAATAGCTTCTCATGTATTTTTTTCAGCTCAATGTAAGATTATACAATCTGCTTCTAAGGATCCAGACATATCAGATGCCTATCAAACATTAGCGGTTTACCATATTTTGGATAAATACATAGTTTCAAATTCTTAAGAGTTTTTTCTGGAAATTATGTTTATTAGGCAACTCTCCAAAAGCTAAAGCACAAGAAACATCATCAGATTACGACCATTAAAATACAGAAACATAAAATCAGTAAAATTGAGTGTAGTTATCAATATCAAAAGTAGAATCAATTTTGCAAATATGAATGCTGAATCTGGTAAACAATATACAGCACCACCTATGAGACTAAATTACCTCTAAAGCACTTTGAAACATCCGTCTCTTGTGCAGATGGAACATGGTTGATGCTATTACTGATCGAGTTACTTCGTTTCCTTCTTCAATCCAGTGGTCTACAAGCTTATGAACAGATAAAGCTGGAGCAGCCAAAATGGCCTTGCACAATACGGAAGAAAGTTGTTTACTGCAGAGCTCTCTTTCCATCATCAGTCTCAACACCAGATACCTCCAGCTCATTTTGAGGTTTGGCCTCCCCGATATTACCAGCGTCCTCTTCAGAGAGTTCTGATTCACAGTTAAATCATCCTCATTTTCATGAATGGCTTTCATTAAAGAGATCAGAAGTAGTTGAAGTTCCAAACTTGGAAAACCCATTCTCCAAGTCATCATCATCTTGTCCACTACTCTCAGTGCCAGCCTGAGAAGTGAGACTGAGGGTTCCTGAAAGTAATTTTTGAGAATCACAACTTGCGTTGAAGAACCATGTCAGAGACAGATATCTACTGGTTATCATTTGTTGAGATCCAGCATAACCTGAATTGCAGTTCTCCAATGCGCACCTTGTTGTTTCTAAATCATAGCAAAATAGGGAAATCCTCGCCCCAAATCTGTGTTCCTGGAAGACGCGGTAAACTTGATCAAGAATGAGTACAAACAAAATACAGTGGACTATTAAGTAAATGCAGTCTAAACAAGTAATCCAGCAAGTTTTCTTTATAATCAAAGCCATTGAAGTACAACATGATGCAAAAGGAATAAATAGATAAATAAAAGAAAAGCACTAATAAAATACCATCTGTACGAACCTATTTTGACCTTGCTATAAGTTAAAATACTGAATAGATACAGCTAAGGACTTTTGGCTCCCATGTTAAACCCCCTTCCCTGTATAAAAATAAATAAATAAATAAATAACTTCATATGCATTTCCCATCAAGCACCTTCTTGGTGATTTATATTACACCCTAATTTTTTTTTTTAAAAAACTATCAATTTATCAGCTGTGACAAGGTTTCAAGAAGTTGAGGAGCAACATCTATTATGAAAGGAAAAGTATTGTATGCTAATCCCAAGCATTCAATCAAATTTAACTAGCATGATCATGTTGCCTCTAAAGTTGCAGCTCTCTATACATGTAATGGCATTAGAGGACATCACTTTTCAGTAATAACAGAGAACTCATCCATATTAGGTGAAAATGCCTTGTACTTTCTGCATCCACATTTTGGGGGCACACTACAGGTTTAAAGGAAAAATTCTAGTTGGATTGACCGAACCTCCTGCTTCATTAAAAAATTTACTTTTTTCAGTTTCTCTGATCAAACCAGAACTTAGCAAAGAACCATGTATAGAATCCACATTTTTCTTAAGCAGAAAAGTTCAAGTAATCAGATATCCGCTTATAAATATGATGCAAGATTAGAGCACTAATGGCGATAACAAAAGTGTACATTCTTGTTCCCTCATTTTAAAAAGGAATATTAGTAAGATAATAACATCTAACCAGAAGCAAAATCCAGAAAGAAAATAGTCTGACTAAGAAATTGCAGCAACCTTGGAATTTATTTTTATCAGTGAAAGTACATTCCTTCCATTTCTTCACATAATTTATCTTCTTTTTCAGAAATAGACAAAAAAAGGGGGAAAAAACACCTTTTGTCCCATCTCCAACTATTACTAGTTCTAGCTTCTATCATTCCAAAAATCCTCTCCTAAATATGTTTTTCTTTCAAAAACCAAAACAAAAATGCCACCTTGAAATTACGAGTTAAATTGCAGAATCAACTCTATGGTTGCAATCAGAGTCCACACATCGTAAATATTCTTCATAAAGGGTTGAAAAAAGGGGAACACAAACCAAAATTTCCTGAAGAAAAGGGCATTTCTTGAGCCCTTTACTACCCATGAAAGGAAAAGCAAAAAGAAAAAATAAAGGAAAACGTGTAAAAGAAGTGAAAATGCATAGATGAAGAAAAGGAAGGGAAGATTACCGGAAAGTACTAAGGGTTGACGAAGAGACAACATCATTATGACTAATTTCTTCTCTTCGGCCTCGATCTTTTGAGGGCTGGCACAAGTAGAAATGAGCAGAGTGAGAGAGAGTGGGTGAGCAAAAGCGTGGAATATTGATAATGCTTAAACCCTGCGAAAAGGGGAAGAAAATTAGCGCCACTGATGGACGTGTAATTACATATTGCGCCTTCATACAAACTAAGTCTTAAAAAAAAAAAAAAAAAGCTAACTCATCAGCAATAAATGAATACTAATATCAAATTGTATTATAACCCATACAACTCATAGGGCTTGGATCAAACTATAGAATCCAAACTCATTCTCAGCTCCACATTTATGTGGATGGATAATGAACACTCTCTAATGTAATTGATACGCTTTTAGAGAGATAAAACACCAAGTTTGCAAGTATCTGAAGAGGAAGAAGTCTCCAAAATCCAATTTAACTGGTAACGACACTAGTCAGCTGATCTTGAGATCTTTCTTCCACTTTTTCCTTGTAAGATTTGGAATCTCATCTTGGACCAAAAAAAAAAAAAAAGAAAAAGTTCACTTCTCAACTGATTTCAAAAAAATTAAAAAACTAAAAGATGCTTTGCAGTTGGCTTGAGTAGGCCTTAATAGGTTATTTAATATGCTTTTTGGTCTTGTCTGGCTTGGTGTTTTTAGGGTTGGCCCATGACTAAGACTTTTTAAACCCAATAAGAAGAACGAAGAGGAAGACAATATTCATTTGTTGTGCACTTTTCTTTATTATTTAATTTTTGACAAATTTTCATCTCTTCTACTATAATTGAGAATAAAGTCGACTTGACTATACTCAATTAGTAGCACATAAGAACAATAACACTAGCATTGCCAGGTAGTAAGTGATTAAATATAGTATAGGGAGATTTTACCATCCATTTTTGGTATCATATTCCCAAGAAAAATTCATCATTAGATGGTAAAAGAAGTGTTATTGACCTTTAGATTAAAAATTGTTAAATATTCAAAATTTAAACTATTATCTTTAGTTAGAGATGCAAGTTGAGGTAATGATATCCAAAAGGCAGAATTTTCCTATAGGTATGGTGGTACATTTGACTTTTGAACTGTATGTGAAGAGGCGACTTCCGGATGGTTGGACCGAGTCAAAGGAATTCACCTGTCACATCTGCAGTGTACGGGGCTTTGTCCCCTGGTCCCATTCCGACGATCAAGTCAGTTCGGATACCTAATTGCAAACTAAAAGTAAGGGGTTAAGAGTCTTTAGTATGTGTTTATATGTGGGTGTGTATGTGAGTGTGTACCTTTCCTACGGATGGAAGGGTATTTATAGTAGACAATATGGTGGGAAGAATGATGAGTTCCAATTCCCGTGGACCAAACTCTGACAGTGTCAGAGTTAGGCCTGATGGAGGGGACATGGCAATGGTTATGTCATTTTGTCACGTCATTCTGTCATGCATGAGTCAGCTTTCTCAATGGGACGTCAGATGTCAGATGGCAGGGATGAAGATAGGAGGTCAAGCCGAGGTGAAACCATCTCGGAGAGTCAGAGACCGGCCCTATGGGGTGAGGCAATGAGCCAAGGTGGCACGGGTTTTCTAAAGATCACCTCGTCCAATCGCAAAGCCAAGGAGGGATGAGGTGAACGGCCTTAATAAGCCCCCAGTCTTGGGAAGGGAAAAGCTGGCATGCCTCCCTACTCGAGACTAAGGCGCAGAGTAATGGAAGGACATGGCACACATTGGGATGATGATATGCCAAGTGTCAATGGGAAAAATGAATGCTAGAATGTTGAGGGATGCATTGAACAGATGTTAGATGGGCAATCACACATTAATGAGGAGAGAGGGGGCACGTCTTTTGAAATTCAAAATGACTGCTCGCTTGCCTTTCCCTCATCCCTATAAATAGAGGGTTTTTCACCTTTTACTTTCACTGTGAGAGGAAATTACAGCAACTCAACCGAGGCAAACCATTGAGATTATTTCCGACAAATGCACAGTAGCCAATCTCAACCTTTTTCAGAGAATAGTAAGTCTATTTTCCTTTTCAAGTATGGCTAGGGTAGCCCGCACGCATAAAAAGACAGTGAAGCCGAACTTTGAAGAAGCGGAGATGCCCGACCCTTTTGAGGAAGCACCGAGGGGACTAAGTACAACTGAAGGTACCTTAGCCCACCAAGAGGAAGAAAGAGCCGAGGTTTCCCATGAAGCTGAGGATGTGGACTCCAAGGTTCTATACAATGATGACCTCGGATCCGAGGTACCCTGAGATGAAGGGGTATTGGAGCCGGTGGCCCCACTAGACCTCACTAGAATAGATTTCGGCTAGCTCCCTCTTTTCAGGAGCACGGTTGGGAGAGCTGAGGCGGAAGCCCTATTATGCAATTACCCGTTTCGGCGAGGCTATAGTATCTATCCTCCCAAAGCAGACCAGTTTGCCGAGACGCCCCCGAAATCCAAGGTGACTATCTATATAGATTAGTTGGAAGTTGGGCTGAGAAAGCCCACCACGAGATTTTTCTGGGACAACCTTAGATATTGAGGGGGTGAGAATCACCTAACTAGTCCCTAACGCCATCCGAATTCTTATTGGATTCGAGATGTTATGTAGAGAATAGGGGGTGACTCCCATCGTCAATCTTTTCCACCGATGCTACACAATAAAACAACAGTGGGAATGAAAGGGACTGATTTTGCTTTGGCAACAGGAATATGAGTATTTCGAAATTAGTGGAAGACGCTCCAACCACGATAAAGAGGTGAAAGAATAACTTTGTCTTCATCCCGACCGAAGACTTCTCTAGGGTTTCTGGTGGAGGCCACACAATGCTCTAACCGATCCCTCTCCTGGAGAGATGGAAGAAGAAAGCTTCCAAAAAATCATGGGGTCGGGCCTTCGGATCAACAATTGGTTCTTCCTCGAGGCGGTACTCCTAGATGAGAGAATCAGCCGAACTCTCATTGACCCTAACAAATCCTCATATTTTTCATCTAGGTTTGAGAAATATTGTAATTTTCATTTCACAACTTTGTAGTTCTTTTTTACTTGTTTAAGTAATAATGTATCTCCCATGTGCAGTGGTGAAGGTCTCTGACTTGATTATCTCGGGAACAGAGACTGTGGCGAAGAGCAGTCTAAGAGGAAAAGCCCTGCCAAGTCGTTCAGAGTAGCGAAGAAGAAAAAGGACACATCATCCACTGTATCTTCTCATATTGGGGGCTCAGCTACAAATACCACTCCACCAATGACTGTGGCCGAGAAGGAGGTTTCCAAGAGTTTGGCCATTCCCCTGGAGGTGGCTACTAGAGGTGTCATGATAGCCGTCATCCCCCATGGTCGAGGCAAATTGTTACAGCCTTCACCCCTACCTGTCTTCTTCCTTATAGAATTGGTACCACATAACCTCACAACTAACTGGGGATGACATGAGGCATCCCGGTGAGCATTGGTTCCCGGATTGGGACCTCACTGTGAACGACCGATTTTTGGATCCTCGCCCAACCCAAGAGTTGCTGGTGCAGTCCACTTTGTCGAGAGACTTGGAGTACATCAAGAAGCTGTCACCTTCAGAGCTAATGCAGCACACAGCCATCGCTTGAGCCTCTTCCTCGACTTTCACGGCCGAGCTATCAAGGCATTACGCCTATTTGCTTCAGTCCTTGATAAGTGCATATTTTTTGTGTTTTAAGTGTGTTTTATTAGTTAGTTTTAGTGTATTTTAACTACTTTTATAGTTAATTAACTAAGATTCTAGTGAACATATTTATTTTGTGGTTTAAAGTGTAAAAATTGTATTTATATGGATTTTAATGGTAAAAATTTCATATTTTTATAGATTTAATGATTCAATCATCAAATGGAGTGATTTGAGAAAATAATTAGATGAGTATTGGTGATTTGAAGTGATAAAAAGAAGGCATGAAGTGCAAAACATTCAAAGGAAGAAATGTAAGTGAAGAAAGCTTTGACACCTTGTGGTATTTTGGTAATATCTTAAGTTACAAGCATTGGATTGAGGTGAATCTTATACCATTTTGAAGTTAAGAGATAGATCTACATATGGTTTGAATACATAGAAATCTAGTTCAATCATTTTCATTGTCAAAAAGTCGAAATATAGAAGTATATTTTCATAGTCGAAAGCTGAAATAGGAGATTGACCAGTCAAGGGTATTTTGGTTATTTCTTAGTCCACAGAGCTCCAACTATGATTATTGATGCATTGAAAATCTAACTTAAAGGGTTACAACTTTCATGTTTTATACAAGAGTTAGTTCAACACCCATCACCGAAAAAATATCAGTTGAAGTTGGACAAAAAATAGAGCAAGGATGAATTTTGCCCAGAAAGTGCAAACCTGCAAAAGCAATACATGGGTAGGCAATACGTGACCTAAGGTTGCGTTTTCAAGTCGCGTATTCTTCATTTTGAGCTGCAACTTGCTCTGCAACTTGTTCTTTGTTCACACAATCTTTCCAACTCATCTACAACTCAGAATTTCGACTATATCTGATCAAAAAGAGTGTGGAAACTTGGAGAACAACTCTTGGTAAGTTCAAAAGCCAACTTTGTCAACCAAAAAATAACTCACCTTGAGCTTGAATCTTTCTATAAATAGCAACCTTTAGAGACCATTTTCACAACTTTGGAAGGCTAGAGAAATTCACAAAAAATGTAGCTTTCACTAGAGTTTTCTTTGTTCATTAGTTAGAATAATATAGCATAGGTAGTGTAGTTTATCCTTCTTGTATGTGTAGTT